AGCTTGAGGCCGTTTCCTCTTGTGCTGTCACTTGGGAGAATAAACTGTAACCCCCACCTCGCTGCGACCTAAGTCTTATGAGGAGAGGCTGAGGGGTCTGGGGCTGGAGAAGAGGAGAGTGAGGGGAGACCTCATCACTCTCTGCAACTACCTGAAATGAGGTTGTAGCATGGTGGGATTGGTCTGTTCTCCCTAGTGCGAGTGACAGGACAAGGGGAAATGGCCTGAAGTTGCACCAGGGGAGGTTCAGGTTGGATATTAGGAAGAATTTCTCTACTGAGAGTATTGGAACAGCCTGCCCAGGGAGATGGTTGAATTGCCATCCCCAGAGGTGTTTATTAGATGGGTAGATGTTGTGCTGAGGGACATGGTTTAGTGGTATTGATAGGGCTAGTTGTCCTAGGTTGGACACGATGACCTTGAAGGTCTCTTCCAACTGAAACTGTTCTATGATTCTGTGATTCTAGGATTCTAGGATTCTATCATGATTCTGTGATTCTATGATTCTAAGACCTCACTCCCTACTGCCCGTTGCCCCCCTGGGATACAGCATGAGGGGGAGCGCAGCCCCATTCATCTCTGCCAGAGGTCGTCCCTGATGCCTCTAGGCACTGTTTGCAGGTTGAACATCTTCACCTAGGAGAAAATAACTGTCTTTGTGGCGCACGTGGTGCTTAAAACTAGACCTTTTTGATGGGTGAAGTTCCTCTGCTGCGGTTTATACCCATATCCCTCAGGAGGATACACGTGCGAGTGCGCTCTGACCCTTCACAGGCGACAGGCTCAGAAGGTGCGAGGGCTGGAGGCATCTCCAGGCTGGAGGCATCTGCCCGCTCCCGTGCCATATTGCCCTCTTTTTGGATTTGGGCACTATTTTCCTGCTTAAACTGTCCGTTGAGTGTATTCATGCAGGTCAGCGTGATCTAATCGGTTGTGTGGGAGCTGCTGTCGTTGGTCGTGGCCGTGCCGGAGGAGAGTCACGTGAGCGCAGTGGGCAAGCAGCCCCTGCCTTATGCTCTTCTTCTTCTGGCATCGTGACTTTAAACAGAGGAATCTGCCTCTTGGAAAGGTGTTGATTCTCTATCGGGGCGGCAGCAGATTGGATTTAGAAAAGGCATTTCGAACGTGGGTTTCACTAAGCTGTTGCCAGTCGTGTGGAGAGCTCGCTGCGTCCCTCTTCCCAGCCCCGTCTCTTTTAGCTTGAAGGAGGACTGAGTTTTTAGGCAGCCAGACTGGCTTCTAGGGCCGCTCCGCCGCCGCACTTTGATTTTTGGACCCACTGCGAGCTGGGGGTGGCAGGAATTTGGTTTGTGAAGCACAAACCAAGAGGGTTTGCGAGGTAAGAAAAGGAAGGACGGGTCAGCGGCCACGTCTCGTGGTCGTAATGACATTGAGGCCGTAGCTTTGTAATTTGAGGCGCCAGGACACGGAGTGCTTGGCTGGGAGTTAATCTGATGGGAGGGAGGGACCGAGACGTGGCTGAGAGTCTGGAGTTAAACGTCTTAACCTTTTTTGCAGGCCGCAGATACCTTGGCCGTGCGACAGAAGCGACGGATCTACGATATCACCAACGTCCTGGAAGGCATCGGGTTGATCGAGAAGAAATCCAAGAACAGCATCCAGTGGAAGTGAGTGACAGAGAAGGTTTAAATCGTTCATGACTCCCTGCTAGTCCGGGTTTAAGTGACGCTGGGGTTAAAACGCCCTGCTCGGAGCACGGTTCATCGATGGTCCCTGCTGTGCTGGGTACAGATGAAGTTTTCTGGGCAACCTGGCCTTGATGTGTGACGGGGATGGCAGTAAGGGAGGTGGGAACCTCTCTGAGAGGCTGGGGCTGGTCCAGACACCTCCGCCAGAAACCTCCGAAAGCTGACGTGCATCGCTCCTTTTTTCACTTTTCCCAGAGGGGTGGGTCCTGGCTGCAACACCCGTGAAATAACTCACAAGCTGATCGAGCTGAAGGCAGACATCGAGGACCTGGAGCAGCGGGAACAGGAGCTGGAGCAGCAGAAGATGTGGGTTCAG